CACTCAAAGCTTGTAATTCATCCTGTAAGATTGAAAACTCCTCTCCAGGGACAGAGATCAGAGACAGTGTCTCTGGGGGCTCTGTACAGGGGGGTTCCTGACCCCCTGCCAGGATCCCAGGCCTGCCAGGGCAGCCAGAGGGAAGCCCTGGATTCCCACAAAGTCCCAGCTCCCATCCCGTCCTCCAGGGAGAGCAGTGCTGGCATCAGCCTGGCTCCCCGAGCTCCAAATGCTGCTCACACCCCCAGGATCTGCTGGAGACCTCTCCCCTCCTCTGAGCACCTTCCCCATCCCCAGCGGGGTGCAGATGGCAGGAGGCACGAAGGAAAAGCCACCATCCCTCCAGAGCCCCTCTGGGCAAAGCACGGCAGCGCAGGAACCCTGCGGCTCCTGCCCCGCTCCCCGGCCGGGCACAGCCGAGGGGCAGGGATGGATCTGCCTGACCTGGCAGCCCCGCCGGCACTGAGACCGCAGCTGTGTGAGGACATCTCTGCTGCCCTCATCCAGCTTGGAGCGGCTCCAGGCTCCGGGACACGCAGGGAGCGCTCCTGGGGCCGCTTCCAGCTGGGAGCCCCATGCTGCCATGCCCGGCTCCTGCTCGCTCTGCTCACGGCCGCCATCCGTGCCCATGTGTTCGCCTGGCAGCGCTCCCAGCCGCGCTCCTGCCAGGGCTCAGCTGCCAGGTACCGATGCAGCGGGACAGGAGGCCCGGGCAGGACTGGCAGCGCTGCTCCTGAGGGCTTCCTGCTCCTCCAGCCCACGGAACAGAAAGGAACCTCTGGCACCTGATGATCGCTGAGGCGCTTCTCAGCCTCTCCTCAGAGCAGGCGCCAGATGAAGGCAGAAGAGAGAACACACCCGTCACCAACTCAAGGGATGCTGAAGAAAACCAAAGTAGCTGAAATTACAGCATTTCTTGCAAATCTAGGTTGGTGGGAATGGAGAGCACCAATGGCCAGCATTTATCACCGAGGCACAAGGGATTAGCTCTCACTCACTCTGGGGTGTAGAGGCAACATTTTCCAGTTGGGTTTTGCTTGGGATGCCTCCATCAAACAGCACATACAGGAACACAAAGAGGAGTGAGGGCAGCTCCTCTCAAGGGAGCAGGGCAAGAACCCTCAGTCCTGACACCATCAGGGGACACAAGTGGTTTCCAGAGCCGTAGGGATTTTTTTTTTCCAGGATTTTTTTTTTTTTTTTTTTTTTTACTTCTTGAATCTTTCTGACATCACAGGAGGTTTCAGTAACATAAAGCACCCCTGCTGCTCGAGACCCTGCTGTGTGTAATAGCCTCCCTGCAGAAGGAGATGAGGGGGATGCTGCTGGCAGGGGACAAAACAGCAAAGGATGTGAGAGCACGTCCCAAACCACGAGCTACATATAAGCCTACAAATGTGTTCTGAAGAGAGATGGACAGAATATCCAGGCTTATTTCCCACTGAAGAGAAACTGTGATGTTGACTTGGAGAGCACACACATCCTGCCTTTGACCCCAACCTCATTTTCTGTGGGATTTTAGCCCAGTGTCCTGATCTTTGGTGTTACTGCAGCACAGGGACAGTAAGGATCACCATCAAGGAAAAAGCAGAAAGCTTCAGCCTAGGTGTGCTGCAGGTGAGAGCATTCCTGAGCCTCAGTATTTTGCAGCCATTCCTCAGAATCAGGCAAGTCTCTTAATTTAAAAGCAGTAATTTCTTGTATATTTAGTTTTGATCATGTAACAGGTAATATTCCCAGGAAGGCAATCAGAAAGGTAGCTTACATTAAGATCCTATAAGCCTATACAATCCTAACAATCCCTTTTTAACACTACTATTTACAGATGTAAAGCTTTTTACACACTCAGCTATCTTTTTGACATTGGGTTACCAAGGTCAGAAGATCAAGACCTCCTCACAGATTAAAATAAAAGGAATAGATAAACAGTGGCTTTCTGTTCAACAAAATACTTAAAGGCCAACCTGTCACAAACAGGTCTGCAATATCCACTTAGTGCAAAAACATCTCATCACTGAGGATGATTCATTACACATGTGAGTAAGACACAAGTAAAAGCTGAGCAAGCAGCTCCCCAATATCCTCCTGATCTGGACCAGGGGCAAAAAGAACCCAACAACTATTCTGACACTCTTAATTCCTCCTCTTAATTCCAGCCTTTGAAACCAAGTTATATATGAGAAGTGTTATTAAGTTCTTACTCCTGTGAAGGCCAAGAAAAGTTATGTGGTTGGGTTTTTTTTTTTGTTTTGGTTTGGTTTGTTTTGGTTTTTTTTGCCAGAGCAAGAAATAAAATCGCAGCAAACAAAATATTTGACCAGAACATTGCCTGTATTTTATTAAACCTTGAATCTTAAAGTTAAGCTCCAGATCTTCAGAGCAAATGGATATGCAGAGTCCAGTTCTGGCTAAAAGACTAAAAATGGTGTCACAGGGAGTATGGATGTGAGACACACTAGTTTCAGTCACTTAAAAAAGTGGAATCAGGTGCCTGGATTAGGATCACCTAATAGCTACTGCCAGTTGGGATAAAGGGCTGGAGGAACACGGCCCAGAGATGCAACACTAAAACATAGGTGCACTAATATTAATTACTTTCTATTCAGCAAGTTACTTTCCTAAATATATAAAATCTGAAATGCTGGGTTTAACCTCCCTCTTAGTCAAGCTTTCAAGAACTGCTCATTGAATTTGATAAAGCCACATAAGAGGAACTGATCTTGTATCTGAAATTATTTCCCACTACATTAATTTTTGGCTCTGGTAAGCAAGTTGGCTTTTTGTGTTGCTGATACAAAGCAACCAACTTAAGATAAGGTTTTGTATTTACTCTGGAGGAAACAGCAAGTAAATGCAGCTGTAAAAATACAAATATAAAACAAAGCCCTAAAAACCAACTTATTGCATACACATTATAAAGGACTTCACCAAAATAATTCAGAAATTGGGCTGTGGACATACATCAAACAATGTCTTAAAGAGATGTTCAATTTCTGAATATGACTGTTACTAACAAGGAGCCACTTCACATCCAACCTTCCACTCAGTACAGTTAAACTGCTCCACAGGACCAGAATTTGTTTCTGGTATTCAAAACCTCAGCTGTAGCTGCATTGCCCAGGAAACAGCAAAATTTGTATTGGGGGGAAGGAGGGGAAAAGAGGTAAATTACTTTAGAAAGAGAAGTTTCTTGGCATTGATACAGGCACAGACAGCTAATCACTAAAAGGATTCACCTGGCACCTCTAGGACCACAGCTTTCAAATAGGTGAAATTTATCCCTATGCTGGAGTCAAAGCAGTGCACACTAAAATGTCATCTGCTCAGATTCCTGATCCCCTCATCTTCTATTAGGATTTCCTCTGCCTTGAACAATTTAACTGCACTGTCAGTTAAACTGGGATATTCCTCACCCCAATTCTCTCAAAGGGAAAGGGATCAGTATTTCATTTGAGTACCAAAATTTCAAGATTTGGTTTCCTAATATTCCTAAGAAAGAAAACCTTAAGTTCCTTATCTATACTTCAGTTCCAGATTATTTAATAAAAAACTCCCAGCCTAATTACCTGCTGGTGTAGGTGCTTGCAGCACTGCTGACTGATAGGTGAAACAGTATTATGAAGTAGAGGACAAAACAAGTAGTTAATTATATTGAAATGCATTGATAGCAAATTTAACAGGCTCATTATCAAGTAGACAGAAGTGACATCTTAAATCAGTTCAAACTCAGTTGCTCACCTTTTATATTTCTGTTGTTCTGGGTGCTCCAAGACAAGTCTTCCTTAATTTTCAGTTGATAGCTATGAACTGCTTGGCATCAAGAGGATGTGATCACATTTTGTCTAGCATTAGTCTTGCCTGTGACAAGCTACTCCATTTAAATAGACTTTACTTTGCACAACCCTGGCAGACAGCATTCATTACCAAAGCCGAGCAAGTTATGAACAAAGTGATTTATTCTGTAATTTTTGGCTCTCTGTTCAAGATACCAAAGCAGATAATATATCTCTATTAATCCTCTTTGGAAATCTTCAGACAAATTCACTCGTGTTTAGAGCTCTCACAGCTTCTCAAAAGAAGTTAGCAGCAAATAAGCTCTGCAGGAGCCTTAGCATGGAGGTGAAATCTGTTCACCGCCTACGTTTTTTTCTGTGGAGCTCATTTCATTATCTGCAAGAGCTATCAAGAACTACAGCACATAACTTGTTTCCAGACTGGTCTGCCAGAACCCTTAAACAAATTTCAAGGGGAAAAATTAAAACCAGGTTTTCACAGGACAGAATTTCAGCAGTAAATATCTTCATGTGAAGTTTTATCAGCAATTGTTGGAGAATATAAAAACCCAGTAGGTTTTAATTGTGTGATCCTGTCCAAGTACTGCTTCTGTAAAGAACTGTAACAAAAATGGTACAAAAGTGTCTTTTAGATTGGGGTGTACAAGCTGAAACTAATCACATGTGGACTAAGCTCTCAAAAATGCTAGAGGGTGTGACAGAAACAGAAAGGTGGTCAACCAAAAAGGGAACATCTACAAGAAACCAACAACGTGAAAAAGGGTAAAAAAAACCACAACAAAAAACACCCAAGAAAAATAAAACCCCCAAACAGAAAAACCCAAACCACTACATTCCACCATTTATACCATACTAAAAAACCAGTAAAATTAGAAATACTTCCAAATTCAGCACAAAATCAAGTAGGAAAGGAATCTAAATAACAAATTGCTGCTTCTTAGCACTGTAGCTTAGAGAGCTCAGTTCAGCTCCAGACTTTACCTCGTACTACACGCACCAAACTTGATTTTATGCAGACCAATTTTGCACTCTTAAAAGAACCTCAGATATACACTACTTCAGCCAAGGCAGTAACCCCAGTATTTCCTAGATCTGCCCCAAGGAATAAGGCCATGCATTGAAGAGCAAAAGGGGAGGGAAGGCTGGTCACTTTTGAATCAATATAACCCATGTGCAATATTTAAAAATCAAGACTAAAACCAGGCATCATTTAATGTATTTTAATAGCAAACTTACAGGAACAGCACAGAAGACAGACAACATTAAAAACATGTACTTGCATGTAGGACAACTCAGTTAGAAAAGTATAGTGAGTGGATGGAATCTACTGTATGATAAAAATGCTACAAACACCATTTAGTTGCCATTGATAAGAAATTTACTTGTTTAAAAAAATCCAAATGCTGGCATTGTCCAGAAAAATTTGACAGGTTTATTTATAATTTTTTTTTTATAAAGTTGTTTTGGTGAACAAGTTTCAATTATTCACGATTTTATTTTTTGACCACATTGTTTGTTTTTATGTCCCCTTGTTTATATTAAAAATCCACACACAAATGAAAATGGAAAGAAAACTTGCCAATACCCAATTCTGTCCCCTATTTTTCCACTTGCAACCATATACTTAAGGTACCTTTTAACCCCATGGAAAAAATATCTAACGTTCATTACTACCAATAACAGGAAGAAGATTTTGCTTCGAGAATGTCAAACCCATTGTGGTGAGGTTTTAGGCACGCTCCCCACGTATGCGGCGTGCTAGCTGGATATCTTTTGGCATGATTGTGACACGTTTGGCATGGATAGCACACAGGTTGGTGTCTTCAAACAGGCCAACCAAGTAGGCTTCACTTGCCTCCTAGTGTGGAAGAAAAAGAGAAAAGAACATTTTCACTCTCTGAGCACCAGGAAAAAAAAAAGACTTATAGTTCAGAACTAAAAGTACAGCGTAACATGGCATTAAGTTGAGGTTTTGATCTTTATTATTCACAAATATCAAAAGTTTTAGATTTTCAGAAATGAAAAACCTCCACTTTCTTATAATATTCTATGTTTAAAGTAGTGTACGGCTGCCATTTGGTAAGGACATCCTCCAGAGCACAACAGAGTAACACTCCCATGGGACTCTCACGAGACAGGAAGGGGTTACATTATTAACAGGTTAGTTTGTTTAGGAAATTCTCTTTTCAAAGGCTGTGTTACACTGTTTCAGGGACTTGTTTGCTGCCTCTTCCAGAGCAAGAGTCACTGAGGTCAGGTGAAATTGGCAGTGCCAGGGGAAAGAAGAACATGTATTCCTTCCCAACACACAATTCAGGCACACAGCTCCTTCCAGATACTGAAGAAGTGGCTTAAGCCAAAAATTAGCAGAAAAAAATATACTGAGAACTATTAGAAATAAGAGAACTCCTTTAGTTCAGGAGCTCCTTGAACCATCAAAACCAGCACATCAGACAGGGAGTTTCCATCAGACACTTGTCCTGCTCCTGTACGGGGGACACAGCCCTGGCCCCACCACCACAGACAGTTCTCACCTCACACCGGAGAGAACCAGGGGCAGCACAAGAACAGCGCTGACCACAGGGGTTTTCCCTGTCACTGAACAGCTGCAGACAGGACCCTGAGCTAGACAGATGCTCAGCTGGACCTAAATATTCACCTGACTCACATTAGGTTAGCTACTACTAAGCCCAGCACAGCAGTGGTAGTTGTTCAAACACTTTTGGAACACATGGAATTCTAACACCTATCAATCTCCTTAGTGTGCCAGTATTGGACACAGCCACACCTGGGCTGAGGAGGTGGGAATGATGGGGCTCAATTATAGAAAGGAGGGCGAGGTCACCCTATCTACAATACATGTAAGAGAACAACTTGTGTGAACCACTTCATTGCCAGGAACTCCAGGAATCAACTTATTTGGTTCAAATATCCTGTTTAAAAACATAAGAGTATCCAATATAAAAAAAAAATCAATATTTACTACAGCAGATGAGGACTGTGGTATTACTAAGTCATTTAATTTGCAGTAGGATATGAGAATCCCTAATGAAGTTTTCTCAAATCACTATGTGAAAAGTTAAGACACTTCACCAAATATCCATGCTGGCACAAACAACATGGTACCCCCAAAGGGTTAATAGAAAAAAAAATATTTTACTTTCTTGAGTTTGTTTCTTTTTTCAAATATGCAAGCAGAACCCACTAGGAATTGTATGTGACCAGGTTCTATACCAACAACTCCTTAATGCAAAACCAGGAACGTTCAAACCAGGAACTTCCTGAAAGTGTATTAGCTACTAAATTTTAATAGACAGTTCTAGATAAAGAAACACACACATAAACCTCAGGATTTAATAACTACCACAAAGAATAACTAAAAGCAAAGGCAGCAACTCTGCAAACACACAGAGGCACCTTTTGAAGCTAAGCATATGCCCAAGTTTATGGGCTCTCATGGCAAACATCTTGGCCCCTTATCAAGTGGAAGTCATTAACTAGAAAGAGACCATTTTGTCTGCATGTCAGACTACAATTACAGATACACTCTGGAACAATCTTTCAACAGCTATCTTTAATCAGGAGTGTCTTTTATCAGGAGAGGGAGACATCCCCATGATAAGAACTGAGCCTTGTGGGGGAATCCTAACAGATTCAGGAATTTGAGCCAGAAAGAGCAGTTAATATTTTTCTCTCTGTAAAATCTAAATAAATTACATAACTAATATATTTTTAAAATGTGCTTAGCATCAACTACATCCTAGGAAAGCAACTATTTCCCCAACTGTGTTTAGATGTGGCTTATTGGGTTGTTTTTCTTTAGAGGGCATTTGAGGACACCAAGACCTCCTCATTAGGAAACCCCTAAATCTGCTTTACAAAATGTTCCCTCTCCAAACTGCAGAGCTCAAAGGTGGAGGAAATGTGTTTTTCTTCAGCATCTTAAGCACTGTCCTAACAAGTCGAGGGGCTATTTTACAAGCCCAGCTCGAAGCACCACCCACAAAAGCACGCTTAGAGGCTCTGTAAGGAGCAGGGGAGCGGTCCCTGAGCTGTGTGGGCCCATGGCACCCAGAGGTGGGCAAGGCAGGGCTGAGGGGCGCATCCCTCCCTGCCGCTGAGCCACGCCCACTGCGGCAGTGCGGCCAATCAGCGGCAGCCTGAGGGAGCCCTGGAAACAGGCTGGCCAATGGGGGCGCGGGGCGGGCCCGCGCGGCTCACCTGCAAAGCACCGATGGCCGCGCTCTGGAAGCGCAGATCTGTCTTGAAGTCCTGAGCAATTTCACGCACCAGACGCTGGAAGGGGAGTTTGCGGATCAAAAGTTCAGTGGACTTTTGATAGCGCCTGATTTCACGCAGAGCTACAGTGCCCGGCCTATTAAAATTAAATACAATGAAAATAAAAATAATTCGTATTGAAAAACACATTCTGTATCACCAAATAGGGGTCCACCCTCCAGGCTAAACCAAGCAGCACACACTCCTGTTTCCCCTAGGAGAGTCCCAGCATTTACAATACAAAACCAGTTCCGCTGGCAAAGGGTCACTGTCTTTGCAACACCAGTCTGTGCCAACTTCCACTGGCTTCAGCAGGGATCCCTCAGGCAGACACCCAAGGCCTGGTGAAGGCTCCTCCCTCTTCACCAAGGGAAGAGTTGGCCAACATGTGCTGTCCAACTGACAGCAACACAGCTCAGTGCAGATGTGGCAAACCACAGAGCCGCCCCAAGTTTAGCTGTACCAAGGGTACCCCTGAGGGGCCTGACAGGAATCCCCAATTTTAAGGGAAAACTGGTTCTTCTTCTCTACTGTCAGCATTCATAGAACCAACAAAATTTATATTCCCTATTATATTTTCAGTCAGAAGTATCCAGCGTATTTCCCCACGTTAGTTTTGGTGTCAGAATGACAAATTTGGAATAGCAACATATGTTTGCAACCATGATGTCCATCTGTGAAACTAATACCACATTTATTTCTGTGGAAGCTTTGTCTTTTCCTGCTCCAGCTTTATTACTTTTCTCCCAATTGATGAATTGTGCCTCACACCTAGAGCAGGAATCACAGAGTGGGTCAGGTGACCACAAGGAAGGGACCACAGTGGGCCACCTGGCCCAACCTCCCTGCTAAAACAGGGTCATCCCAGAGATTTTTTTCTCAGGATTGTGTCCAGATGGCTTTTGGTAATCTCCATGGAAGACGACTCCACAACCACTCTGGGCAATCCGTTGCAATGCTCAGTCACCTTCACAGCAAAGTTCTTCCTCATGTTCAGGTGGAATTTCCTGTGCATCGGTCTCTGCCCATTGCTTCGTCCTTTTGCTTGGCACCAGTGAGAAGAACCTGGCTCCATCCTCTTCAGACTCCTCGAACCATTAATAAATGCCCTCTTGGACTTCTCAGTTAAGCCCCCTTTTCTAAACCCACTTCTTCCCCATCCATGTTTTCCCCAAGGAATACCTACACCTAGCCCAAAACCATCATCCAAGCTGAAGCACGATTGCTGCCGCTCTGCACAGAGCCAGGACTGGGAAAGGTCAGGACTCGGGGGCTGTGTGACAGCTCTGCCGCCGACCGCGCCGGGGCCCGACAGTGCCAAGGCCGGGATTCGGGACGGGAGCCCCGGCGCATCCACGGGTGCGCGGCTCCCTCTGGCGGCGGCTCCGCGCCCTGCAGGGCCCCGCGCCCGCCCAGCGCCGCCGCCGCCGGATCCAGCCCCGCGAGGGAGCGCGGAACGCGCCGGTAACAATAAACTTGGCGGCGGAGGCGCAGCCCTGCTGGGGCCTCTAGATAACAGCGAGTACAGAATTATAAAAATTTAAAAGAACCGCCGAGCCGCCTCCGCCGCGGCGGGAGGGGTGTCGGTTTTGTAGTCACCAGCACCGGAACGCCCGGAAAAGGGCTGATGACAAACGTCGGGATCGGCGCCGCCCAGGGAATGAATTTCTGGTTATTTTTGCGGCTGACGGGGACCTGCGATTGTTTTCTTTTCGGTGATTTTTTCGGTTTGTTTTTTTTTTTGCTATTCTGCCGGCAGGCGGGCGGCCTCGGGGAGCAGAGCGCGCAGGAGGCGGGGAGAAGCGCCCCCCGCCCTATCGGTCCCCCGGGGTGGGGGAAGAAGATTTTTTTTGGGGGGGGGGTTGTCCGGTAGCGCCCCGCGGCCGCCTCTGCGCGGCGCTGCGTTACCTGTAGCGGTGCGGCTTCTTCACCCCGCCAGTGGAGGGCGCGCTCTTGCGGGCGGCTTTGGTGGCGAGCTGCTTGCGGGGCGCCTTGCCACCGGTGGACTTGCGGGCGGTCTGCTTGGTACGGGCCATGCTCCTGCCGACGTCGCTGCCTTACACCTGCCGGGAGGAACGTAGGCAGACGGGGCAGGGGGGAGGTGGTCGCCCCGCTCGGCGTGCGCCCCCCGCGGCACCTGCCCCCGGGGCGGGCGGCAGCGCGGCCCCCGTCCCGCGCAACGCGTCCCTGCCCCGCCAGCCTCGAGCGCCGAGCCCGCGGCGGCCGAACGCCTCCGACGGCCAGTTAAAAAAAAAAAAACAGCACCCACACCAAAAAAGGAAAAATTAAATTAGAAATTAAACGCCTGCCGATCGCGGAATATTAAAATACAGCTTTTTTGCCCACGAATTCAATATCAAAGCGGCGGCGGCTGAAGCCGAGCGAGCCGCACGGCAGCAGGCGCGGAGAGGCGGCTGTCGCCTCCCCCCCGCCGGCCGCCCGTCACCTGCCAAGTGTTTGCAAATACCGCCCGGCAAACATCGGGGGGCTGGCACCGACCCGCCGCTCCCACCCGCCGGAAAACCTCCTCCGAAACTGCGGAGCGGGGGCCGGCGGAGAGGCAGCCCCCGCCGGCCCTCCCCGGCTGCCCGGCGCTCGCCGCCGCCCGCCCGCGCTCCCCGACCCGCCGGCAACCGCAGGCAGCCCGGCGTTTATCGTGCGAAAAGAAAAAGGGCCGGATAAAGTGCGAGAAAGCAACAAACTTTGTTTTCGGGGGGTTGTTTTTTGGGTGCCGTCTTTCTCTTTCTGTGTAACTGCTTCCCCAAGAGCTGCCTCGCTCCCAAGCGCCTCTCACAGGCAAACTCGGCTCCCAGAGCCAGAACAAAATGGAAACAATCACGAAACGCAGCCCTAGTCCTTTTGCAAAGGAGGAAAAAATAAATTGCAAAAAATAACGCCAAAAATATCGCCAGAAACTCCAAACCATGCGGGTGCAGATGCAGGGGGAGGCAGCGGAAAAGTTTGCACTCGAAAACCAAAAAATTGCGTCGCGTTTGGGTCGTTCCTTCGGCGAATTTCTTTCCCTTTTTATTGTTTTTTATGCAATAGGAAAAAAAATATGGTCGGTGACCAGAGAAAAGAGACAAGATGGTGAAGCTGAGCAACAACTGTGGGGAGCAGGGGAAGGAAGGCAGGAGAGTTACCCTGGGCTGGCGAGCGGCTCCCCTTTGCGACCGCTTCCCGGCTCGGATCCGGGGGATGTCGGGCTGAGGAGGCAGCTAAGGGGCTGGGGAGGCCGCTGGTGGGGGTCTGGAGCGGGGGCGAGGGGAGCAGAGGGGGGCAACGACCGCGCGAAGCGGGGCCGGGGGTGCCGGCGGAGGGAGCCGCTCCGGCTGCGCCGGGAAGGCGGCGCGGCCGAGGGGAACCGGAGCCGCCGCCGCCTCCCGAGCCCCCCAAAAGTTTGTGGGGAGGGTCGGGGGGCAGCGGCGGTGGGTGTCGGGGCGCGGGGGGGGCGGCGGGCGCGGCGCCAGACTTACCCCGTCCGCTGGGCGAGCGCGGCTGCCGTGCGGGAGGGAGGGAGGGAGGGATGGAGGGCGGGCAGGCGGGCGGGCGCAGGAGGAGCCGGCGCTGCTGCGGCTGGCGCTGGCGGCGGCTCGGAGCACAATTGAAAGATGGCTGACCGGCGAGGGCCGGCCCCGCGCGCCGCCCCGCCCCCCCGCGCGCCGGCCCCGCCCCGGCCCGCGCGGCCGCCAATGGCGCACAATGGAGGGAAGGCGCGGCCCCGCCCGCGGCCCCGCCCCGCCCCGTGTGTACAAACACAAAAGGCACGCCGCGCGACGGCAGCTCCGGCCCGCCGGTCCCCGGGGCGCCTCATCGCCCGGTCTCCTGCGTGCTGGGGGGCTCTTCCCGGTTTGGGGTCACCCTGCGGCCAGCAGGGCTAGGAGAGTGATTTTCCCCCCGGTACTGGGCGTTGGTGGGACCACGCATCTGGGCCCCTCGATACAGGAAGGACGTGGAGGTGCTGGAGCGTGTCCAGAGAAGGGCAGTGGAGCTGGGGAAGGGTCTGGAGCATTCATGGTACGACGAGCTGCTGAGGGAGCTGGGGGGTTTATCCGGGAGAAAAGGAGGCTCAGGACTGACCTTATCACTCTACAGCTCCCTGAAAAGAGGCTGTAGCCAGGTGGGCATTGGCCTCTTCTCCCAGGCAACCAGTGACAGGACAAGAGGAAATGGCCTCTGGTCGCACCAGGGCTGGTTTAGCTTGGACATTAAGAGGAATTTTTTCATTGAAAGGCTGACTGAACATTGAACAGGCTGCTCTGGGAGGTGGTGGAGTTACTGTCCCCTGGATGTGTTTAAGGAAACACTGGACACGGAACTTAGTGCCATGGCCTAGTTGGCAAGTTTGGACAAAGGCTGGACTCAATGATCTTAGAGATCTTTTCCAACCTAATTGATTCTGTGGTTCTGTGGGTTTCTTTCTTTACATAGAAACAAAAAAAAATTTCACCCTGTAAGCTGGCCCATCAGAGCCCACCCAGCAAGGACCTGCTGTGGAAAGGCCATACTTGCTCTTTAAAATGAGAGCCAGGTGTCAGGAGGGGACTGCTGGGGATGCTTCTCAGAAACACACTGCAGGCATGATGGTTTGCAAGCAAAATCTACTGTTGGGGAAGGAAGAGGAGCCTCATTTCCTGCATCAGTGCTGTCCCACTCTTTGGGGTTTGAGATGCAGCTATTGGAAAAGCAACTGTAAGTTTAGCACTGCCATTGCCAGCAGACCCCAACCGGTTGTATCGGCTGCCATGATGTTTAGTGAGAAAATTTGCTCTTTATTTTCTATTAATGTTAGGATCAAAATGCCCTGGGGAAAAGTAACCTGCACTCTAATACAAATGAACAGTCACTAGCAATTGTCTTAAGCACATCTCAACTACAGACTCAGATCCTCTGCTCACACAAACTGGTGCCACCATCTTGTCTGTCATTTAGGCGTTAGAAGGAGCCATATTTGATTTGCAAAATCTTTATTACGGATGATGATGTAATGCAGCTCTGTGTGGAGACATCCAAACTACCTCCAGCTGCAGAAGTGGTTTAGCCATGTGAGCATTCACTTGGGGCTAATCAAACCTGACAAGAAAGAGAGTGTTATCGTGGGCAGAACACCCTGCTAAAATAGATATAGTCTGCATTAGTGCTCAGATACAAACAACGGGCTGTACGACACAGACATGACTAGACATGCCACACATACACCTCTGACCCTGCAGTGAGTTTATGAGAGATGGCTGTCAGGAAAGAGAAACCACAAAGGATTTTTTTTTTATATACTTACTGAAGTATTGGTGGATTGATCTATCTATTGATAATATTTTATGAGAGAACAGTGCCTTACTGGACAGTCTGAAGTGAACTCTGAGCTGTTCAGTAGCATACAATAAGAGTATTTGCAAATGCTCAATAAACTCTAAAAGCCAGGCACCGAAATTGGCATCAATTCCCCACAAAACACACACATCCCATGATGAGCAGCTGGAAAAGTTAAAAGAGAGCAGCACCGGTTCCCAGCCGCAAGAAGCTGCCTGGAGGTCCATAATCCATAGGTTGTCCCTGGCAGCTGCAGCTCTGCCCGCTCCCGGGAGTGCGGAGGAAGCGGCCGCGCTTCCAGCGCTCTCCGTGCGGCTGTTCCGCGCCCTTCTCCCGCAGGCGGAGCTGCTCCGCCGCGCTCCGCGGCCCTCCCCGGCGGCCGGGCGTGACCGAGCCCCGAGGTCACCGGCGGGGCCCGCACCCCCCGCGCCGGGGCTGCCGCGGGTGGCACCGGACGTGCCCCCGCCGCCATTGGCGGGAGCGCCCTGGAATTCCATGACGCCAGGCGGGGCGGGGCGGGGCGCGCGGCTGTCCCGGCCCCGGCGCTGCCCCCTCCCGCCGCGGGCCCGTGCTTCCCCCGGGAGCTCGGGGCCGAGCCAGCTCCCGTGTCTCCTGGAGGGCCGCAGCGCTCCCGCCCTGCCGCTGGCAGCTCTGGCTGGTTTCAAACGTACGAGGAAAGCCGCAGGCAGGACTACAGTGTATTGTCTGCCCAGCGCCCACAGCGGAACACAGGGAAAGCCCAGAGAAGGAAAAACTATTCCAGTATTATCGGGTTTTGCACCTTCGTTTCGTCCTCGCTGATTAATGCCATTAAACCCGTGCTTTTCCAGGGCTGCAGGAACAGGTACGGCCCTTTGAGCTTTACCACAAATGCTGTTTGAGTGCGTACAGAGCAGCACAGAAAGAGCTGGCCCAACTCTAAAAAGACTCCAGACGCTCATCTTTCACTGGCAGCACCGATAAGCCTTTGCTCCTCCTTTCCAAAGGCCTTTATCTCTGCAGACCACAGGCATCTTCCACCCTAAGGCATCCATAAGCGGCCATGAAGAAATCTAACCTAATGAGATTCCACTGGTTTAGCCGGCAATAACACGCCAAGGACAACTGCAGTACTTCATCCTCACCCAGCGTAACCACCGCTGCTGCAAACGTGGCCAGATTGCTACGGGAAAGAAGATTAGGGTGGAAAACGGCTGGTGCAGATTGGAGCCAAAGAAGACTCAAATGATAATGAATAGAAAAGAGGAACATTACAATCAGATGTTGTTTTCAGCACCTTTCACAGAAAGTAGACAGCCCTCATTCAGCAAAAAGAGGCAGATTTCCTGCTTGTACTGTTTTTACACCTTTGGGCTGTCCAAGTAGCAGACATTTTTCAAAATAATCTCTTTCACCTTCCTCTTGTTGGGAAACTCTTGTCTTGCCTGGGAGACTCTGGGCAGAGGAAGGCAGGCACTTATCCCACCAAGATACATTATATAAAGCTAAAAACACTGTAACAAAATGTTACTCAAAAAAAACCCCAAACCAAACAAAACAAGCAAAACTAACACGCTGTTGCTTTGGCCCTTTCCAAATAGCTCCTAGTCAGTTTCCAATGCCAGCATAATGCACTGGCCCAATTGGAGGGAGAGCTACCAGATCAACCCCAGTGACATCAGAGGCTGCAGGAACATCTACAAACTGCAGCAGCTGCTTCCCTTTGCTACAGCACACATTACAAGACAAATAAAACACAGTGGAGCAGATGAAGTTTGCCTTTTTTGAGGTTAACAGGACCAAAAAAGAAAAAAAAAAAAAAAAAAAGGGGAGTCCAGAGTGTTATCAGAGCAGAGTATGGTTGTTTTCAAGCAACACTGCAGGTAATCTTTCAGAATCATTTCAGAAAGGTTTCCCACTATAAAAGACAGGCACAGTTTGTCACCAAACTCCAAAGGGTCTCCGATCAAAGAAGAAATATTTCTTTCCTATCCCCCCCAAAAGCACAAACTAAACATCCAAATTACTTAGTCAACAGATAAAGGTCCTCTCCTATCACCCAGGGAAAACTGGGGTTGTTATTAGTTTTATCTAAAAGCTACTCCAACATTTTGGTGATGGAAGGAGTATAAAAGACTACCTTTGTTTATCTACAGCCGTCACCTGACTCCTCCTTTCTTTCACCTCCTCCCAGACCCAATTCTCCCTTCCTGTTCTCAATCAGATCCATCTTCCTTCTTTAAATCGTTTAACCTCCAACCAAAATTTGCACTCCAGATCTGCAAGTTCTCACCTATTCCCTGCTCCAGCTCCCAGTTCCTTATTTCATATTCCCTACACACCTCTTTGACTCAATGTATTTGCTCAGACAGTTGCATTTTTCTCTTATTTCTGTTTGTTTTTTTCCCCTATCTCTATCTTTCATCCTCTTGATTCTGATGCCAAACAGTTCCCACCTTCCCCTAGTTTTTCAGCCAGCCGCAGTCCCATACCTGCTGTGTTCCCTTCTGCAGCTCCCAGGCTGGACAGCCTTTCCTAGCCAATTTCAATTCCATCCTTAAAAAACGTTGGACTGTGTTGCTTCATCCTCACTCCAGTCCTGGCAGGCCTGCCACCCAGTTTGTGGTTATGGCTATGCACTTACAATTTCTTCTGGAAATTAAAGTTAAATGTCAGTACAAAACGCTCACAAGCTTTAAAACTATCTTCCTCTTAAAATGCATTTTGATAGGATTAAAATATTTGTAGCCTTAACTTAGCATTAACAGTACATTTGGTGCAGATTTAAACATATTCCTAAATAATCATCTACAAGAATACACATTTGGTGTTTTTTCCTAGGAAGTTACTAGGGGTGGCAATCATTGGCACTTGTTAAGGAAAATATAAGTCACCTAAAAACCTCAAAATGAGTTACAATAATCTTGCCTCTGTGTAAATAGCTTTCTATTAGTATTTGTTTTGAAGGTTTCTATGTCATGGGTTTGTAGAGCACAGAAATTACAGCACAGTAACAGCAGCCATTGTACTGCATAGCTGTTTGATATGCTGGGTTGCCCATCAGATAGGACACCTTCCTATCATTTGGAATATTTCTATTCCCTGTCAATGCAGACACCAAAAGTACACTAGCCAGAACTAGCAGCTGTGTAGTACACCTATCTTTAGAGATTGGCACCTACTGGAAACACAGATAAGTTGTTGTGTAGTAGCAGTAGTAGTAGACAAGCTTTTTCCTCACTTTTATCATGTCTTTTAATAGTGTCTTTTGCCTTTTGCAGTTCTTTGAAATGCTTCACATATATCAGACATTATGG